TTCAATTCTACTTTCCCACATACAATCATCCAACACATCAGTTTCAAGCTTAATAACTTTCTCAACATTTTCAGATACCAAAGATACATGATTATCATCAACTGTATACCATGCAGGATTTTCATTAGTGTTTTCAACATATAATTGACTATAAAATTAAAGATAAAATTATCAAGTTAAAAACAAAAGAAAATAATATGAAGATTTTAATTAGGTATGTGCAAATACCTGGTAACAGCATCAGAATCATCAGTGACTTCAACTTTTATGTAGTCTTCCATTGGAGTAATTTAAGAATATTCTAAAGACCAAAATATTTATTAATTCCAAGTACACATTAAATCTTATTTGAACTTATAATTTATAATTCAAATTTATTAGATAGGTATTTTTTTTTATAATATACATCTTCACCTTACAAATTCAGCCAATTCAAGAACAAGAAGACGCTGATGAACCACTAGTTTTATTTCCAATTACAAAATTAATCAAGATCAAAGTATTAAAAACTTATTCTACCTAATCAAAAATATTAGAAAAATTTGATCAACAGGTTTCATTTTAAATTTTAAAAAGTAGGGAATTTTTTTAAATTATGTGAAAAATGTTTTAGTAATAATCAGTGTTTTTCAGAAATTATAAGTTATTTGTATTTATATATGTATTTCATTAACACGTTGACTGCGTACTGACGCCAATTGGCGTCATGAGTATCAATCAGCAACGCGTTTGACGCCAAATGGCGTCCACAATATATTAAAAGTAAATGGTTTATTACTCGTTAAGCATGGCTGAATGTGGTTTTTTTTATTATTTAGCGTGATTAACGCATGTTTTAAAATAAGTATTCGTAYGCCATTTGGATGTATGACCATATAGGAGCAGTTCCTTTGTTATTTTTAGAAAACTATTGTTTTCATTAGTTAAATTGTTATTATTGGACATATCTTTATCTTTTTATTGATTTAAGCGAATCCCGACACAATTACAAATAATATTATTATTGATAGGCGATATTATAATAAATCTCGACTTTATTGACAGCGTATAAATATTATTATTTTCGATTTGTTTATCGTAAGTGGACGTCAGCTGCTATTCTGGTAAGTTTTTTCTTATATTTTGCTATACGATATGACAAATACAAGGTTTGAAATTGATTTTTCTCTTTGGTAAGTATTATATTGTTAATTATCATGGATAGAGATCAGGCTGGTCCCTCAAGACCTAAAAGGGCTTGTGTTGGTTAATTCCCCAATGAATGTGAAATTCAGTTGCTTTTAGACTCCGACAAAGAAGAGAATCTTTTTGACTTTGACGATTCTGGTAGCGAATGTAGTGTAGGGATTTTATCTAACGAAAACTCATCTGCAAGCGATATATACTGCCTTGAATTTCTAAAAAAAATCAACGAAAATAACTAAGACGCCAATTGGCGTCCATGCACACTTTGAAAAAAAAATTCAGTGGTGCTAACGACGCCAATTGGTGTCATGAAAGTTCAAAAGTGTTAATATGTATTATTGAACACATTTAAAAACTTTTTTCTTAGTACCAAAATTAAATTTGATGAAAAAAGTAACGTACGCACTGGGCGGGAAATGCAAAAATACATACGCAGTCAACGTGTTAACAAATTATCAAAAAGCTATGGATAACTGTGGTAGACCTTAAACACCTTATTCAAAAAATCAATCCAAGGCTGTAGCTTTAAACAATTTTTTTATACAGGAAAAAAATGAAACTACACATGCATAAATGTTTAACAAAGTGACTAAAAAAAGTTCAAAATAAAATCAATTTTTCTACTTTGGTGCAGTTTGCAGTTGCAGTTAGTTTTTTTTTTTTTTTGGAAAAAGAATCAATTACTTATACTATTTAATTAGTTATGAACTATTATTAAATAAAGTAGTGCTAAAAGTGCTTTATGTGAGTGGATACATATAACATATAATATTAATATGTAATGCCATATATTCATAATAAAGCTCATTAATTAACATTAGCATTAACTTCTGGTCGATACAAAATGTTTCAATAAAACACTCCTAGTTGTGATAGATATTTATAAATTATTTCATAAATCTGCTAAAACGTGAAAAAATATTTCTTGATATTCAAGAAGCTATAAACGAACAAAAAATTGAAAATACCTGTAACTATTGATACACATTGGTTAAGTAATCACTAATTATCAATTAATTCATACAACAGTAAATGTTAAAAACTGATTATTTAGGCATGTGAGCACACACACTGACAGAGTAGATTTTTATTAGCAGGAGGTATTATGTTAAAAATCACCCAGTGAAGGATTTTTGATGAATTTAGTTGTCATATATGAGGATAATCCATGTTTGTTATTAATTTTTTAAGAATTATGTATTCATTGGTACATATCTAATACCAGTTAACTGAGCTTAAAATTTATTATACTTTTACTTTTATTCATTATTAAATCCTGGCATGTCAACGCCCTTGAAAATGTATCATACTATCCTAAAATAGGTCTGAAATAAATATGGCTAGTTTAATTGGCATAATGCAGTTTAGCTCCCAAGCGATTTTTTTGTAATTGGTGTAAAATATTTATTTTGGAAGTTATGGTCAATAAACTTAAAAATGCTCAATTTTTAAAAAAAACTGCGTTTTTGAATTGAAAATACAAAAATTTTAAGTTTTTTTTTATTCTATGAATGTTTGTATTTATATGATCAACATTTTAGTGAAATCAGAATTTGCCTATCATATTTACTTTTTATGTTATTGAATTAACCACATAAAGCTGAATTATCAAGTTATTTCAAATATTTGCATATTTGAGAAACTAAAAATTGATTTTTCTTTAATTAGATGAGTAATAACATAAATCRGTACTGATCTGTTATCGCCCCGCCAATCGCGACAATTATTGCTTTATTTTATTAGTTCAGGTAATTTTACTCAGTAGTATGTCCAGTATGTCTAAAGATCTGTCCGTATCAATGTCGAAGTATTTAATGCAGTAGTTGAAAAATGAATTTAAAAGATTTGTATTCCGAAGTCTTTAATAAAGATTCTACTATTAATTTTCTCCAAACGAAAAATGTTTTGTTACAAACTCAAAAGTGCAAAAATTACCATGAAATGATTATAAAAGGACCTCGGTGGCGTTGTCAGAGAAGAACTTGCTGATAAGAAAAAGGTATAAGAACCAACAATTGGCCGACTGGTTCAAGATTGCCAATACATACAACAGTATACTACATATACTACTGGACTTATGAAATGACCTCTGTATCGTATTGTAAACATGAATTTGGAATAAGTAAAAGTGCCGTTGCTGACTGGAATAATTATTTACGTGAAGTGTGCATTTGGAAAATTGAAATTAGTAATAATGAAATTGGTGGTCCTAATTTAATTGTGGAAATTGATGAGACTTTTTGTACATAGAAAAAACAATGCAAGTCGTATACCTACTTCTTCAACAGTGGGTATTTGGAGGCATTTGCCGAGAAACTAAAGAATGTTTTATTGTGTGTGTACCTAATCGGTCTGAAAAAACTTCACTACCATTAATCCAAAAGTTTAATCGGCCAGGGTCCATATTTTTGGACAGTTGGAGATCGTACAATAGAATTCAACATAAGGTTATCAACATAATCAAGTCAATCACAAATACAACTTTGTTGACCCCTCTACTGGAGTTCATATCCAAAACGAGGAAAGAATGTGGGGTGCTGCAAAAAGAGCAACAAATGACATCGCGGAGCAACTCAACATWTCCTTGACTCATATATGAGTATAAGTAGCGATCAATACTTACCAATCAGAATGATCCATTTGAACAGATTTTATTGGATATCTCAGCATTTTGGCCTCCATCGTGATACAGTAATTATTGTAATTTTATTTTATCTATATATTTTTAAATTGTATTACATTTTAGATTAATTTTATATACTCATACCTACATATTTTTTTTAATGATATCATTTTGGAAGTAATTAATGAATTAACAAATTAAATCAATATTTTTTCTAATACATTTCTATACACTATATATATATAAAGTTTGATTTCTATATATGTTTTAAATAATGTAGCCGCATTTCTAATTGGCGGGGCGATAACAGACCAGTACCCATAAATCATAATGGTATCAGATAATTTTGAAAAAGATCTTAAGTTCTAGACTTGTGGTATATGTACTAGGTATATTATGTTAATTGGATGAAACAAAACTGAAAAATGTAATCAAAATGTTTATACGCAATTCAAAAAAATAACAGAAGGTACCTTTTAAGTGACTTTTTAATATAGTGTTTGCAACAAAAATTACCTATACACTATTCAATTCCTATGACAAGATCAAAAATTCTAATTTATACCTATAATAAAATTAATTAAGTTCAAATAAGAAAATAATATAAAATATAACCAAGAATTGTTAAGACTTATAACAGTAAGGTTAACTTACTATTTTCTCACTTGGTGATGAATGACAAGTCGCTTATGATAGAGCGCACAGCAAAACTGTACTGGGTCGTCAGGCTGCTTACCAAAAACTCAATGAATAACACAAAGCTTTGTGGCAATGTTATTGACTATATAAGGTTTCAAGGAAAACGAAGCATGGATTCCAAACAGTGAACCAAAGTTCTAGTATTGAGTTTTCGTACTTCATTATGGTGTAGCTGTCCCCAGGGCGTGTTGTGATTCAAATTTCAAATTTATGTCTAATCACARAATAACCTATTCCACATTTCCATGGTGAGACTATACAGGTCCAAATTCAAACCATAAAACGGCTTAGTTGTGAGTGGCCGTCTCGGTGTTCAGCTACCATCGGGTGGCTGGAATAATAACAAACAGAAATTAAAATACTAAATGTTKTCCACCCCCTCCCCTACCCACGAAAAGTCGATACAATTGTGTCGTTCAACTGTTCGATAATTTACTGTTATTAATAATGCATTAATGACCATTAAACGAACACGGTCGGTGAATTACCAATGTTTTACGGCGTGTCGGCGTCACTGTATAAACTAACAAATCAACATTGAAGTCCCATTTTTCGACATCACGTCAGCATTTGGTATCCGCGTCCATGTGAATTTTGACTTTTCCAGTGTGTACTGTGTAGAAATGTCTACAAAAAATGCCATAAACGACTAATTGCCAATTGGAACTCCGAATTCGCTAAAGTTGAATAGATAAAATACTAAATTGCCAAAAATTTATATTTGATAGAGATAATAATATGGTATAAGGTATAACCACAATGATACAGTACCTACGTTTACATGATGCGTGTAATAAAACTACAATATTATTTAGTACTTTAGTAGCTTGTATTAGGCTATTCAGCCGCGGTGGACACTACTACTTACTAGAGGACTTAAAAAAAAAAAAGTAGACAGCAAATTGATGTCCAATCGGAAACTCCATAGTCATCAAAATCAAAATTGAAAACACTAAAAACAGTAAAAACTCAAGTCATAACAAAAATACACAATAAATAATAATATATTGTATAATGTGCTACACTGGTCAGGCACCGGCGCGGCATGGGCGGCGCATGKCATGGCGCGGATGGCACGACTGATGGCAGGCGCGACAGGCCCAGTGTTGCCATCTTGGTTATTTAATGACCAGATCTAGTTTTATTGTACAAGGTAATGTCGGGTAGAAATTTGATCGAGTTATTAGTTTTTTTTTAACGATTCCTTTGGTTAACTAATATAATTAATAATTACCAAATATTCTCTTTTTTTTAGTTTTTTGCTGGTTCTTTTTTGTATTTTTCCAATTTTATTTTTTATTTTGCCACCAAGGTGTTCCACAAAATGACGTCGGTTTTTGTTACAGCTGTACTAGTACTCCTGTTAAYTAGTACTACTTGTTGCCACAACTATCTTAAATCGTGCTTGTTGCCTAAACGGCTATACCATTATATGATTATACCAATATTATAAGTATATCATATACCTATATCATACTATAACCGAGGTTGTAAATAATAGGATAATATTATCGATAGCCGTGACTATAACTGATATGACTATTTTAAACAGCAATCAATTCTGCTGCTGCAGCTGCCAGCTTGCAGGCGCAGCAAGCTCCTAGACTATGACGTTTCGCCTAAATTGCTACTAGAATATTCCACAGATTATATAAAACATATATAATTTTTAGTTTTATGTAATCTGTGAATATACCATGACGTGGTAAACCATTTATACCATACGGTATTTATGTGACCACAACCACAGAACAACGGACTGTCGACCATGATAAATAGGTATGTTGGCAAGACGTCGTAGCAACTCATGATACGCATGTTTCGCAATCCTGCCGAGCAACGGTGAGGTGGTGCAGTAAGTTGTTGCACCAATGAGAAACGGTTAAATGCTTTTAACACATTATGTATATTATGTTTTATAATATGTGCTGGTGCTGGATGCCTGGATAGAGGAGAGGAGTGAGAGGACGGATGCGCGAGCTGTGTGACTTCCGAGTGCCGACAAGTTTTTAAAACGGCATGGCGGTTTACTGCTGACATAGTTTTACATACCCATTTATTTAATAATTTATCAAGGTGTCGAGTGTGATTGTGTGGATATAAAATTTNGCTGCCAGCTTGCAGGCGCAGCAAGCTCCTAGACTATGACGTTTCGCCTAAATTGCTACTAGAATATTCCACAGATTATATAAAACATATATAATTTTTAGTTTTATGTAATCTGTGAATATACCATGACGTGGTAAACCATTTATACCATACGGTATTTATGTGACCACAACCACAGAACAACGGACTGTCGACCATGATAAATAGGTATGTTGGCAAGACGTCGTAGCAACTCATGATACGCATGTTTCGCAATCCTGCCGAGCAACGGTGAGGTGGTGCAGTAAGTTGTTGCACCAATGAGAAACGGTTAAATGCTTTTAACACATTATGTATATTATGTTTTATAATATGTGCTGGTGCTGGATGCCTGGATAGAGGAGAGGAGTGAGAGGACGGATGCGCGAGCTGTGTGACTTCCGAGTGCCGACAAGTTTTTAAAACGGCATGGCGGTTTACTGCTGACATAGTTTTACATACCCATTTATTTAATAATTTATCAAGGTGTCGAGTGTGATTGTGTGGATATAAAATTTTGAAGTTTGCTTTGCCGTTGGCGTCCAAACAAGTTTTACTTAAAACTCTATGCCAAACCGCCATTGACATGAAAAGTGCCATTTAAAAAGGTAAAATAATCATTCTGAACCATGAAATCTTACTGTCTGCAAAACGGTAAATATTTGGGTATATCTTATTTTAGAGATGTCAAAAATATTAAATGGCTAAAAGATAACATGTTTCCAATTTTCAAAGATAAATCGCCTGTGTTAATTAGCAGCAGATTGATTATCGATCCATTTCAGATTGTAGTTGCTGTGAATAATTCTTACTTGTCTTGTGAAAATTCCTGTATGAAAACTAAGTCTCTTGCAAACGAAATTTTATTTAATTTATCAAGTTCAAAAAATATCACACAGTCGTTAAAAGAAATAAGCGCTAATGACCAAGATGATGATATGATAGTTGTAATTATATCAAAGTTCTCCAATGTTCCTGAAATGCAAATATTTCAAGAAAAATGTATAACAGGATGTGAAACAGATATTTCAGAAATTGCAGAAAATATTGATGAAAATTACATTAAATCTTATTACAAAATAAGTCAAATAGAAAGTGAAAACTCTAGTCTACTTGATTCTATTGTTACTAGAATTGCTTGTAAAGCTCTGACATTGTAAAACCATTAGTTTGAATAATTATAATTTCATTAAATTACTTAAATTGTTCTTACCACTAATTAAGATTTCCTAGAACTTGTGCTCCTACAATTTTATAAAATTTTCACTTTTGTAGTCAAATCTTAAAATCAAAGAAGCAACTTATATTACTTTTTAAGTTGTATTTCCATTGTGTCTATATTATAGATAATTTACTAATGTATACCAATTATTTAACTAACTACCTAATATTCCTGATCAAAGGTTATAAGAGCTTTTTAGTTCTGTTGACATTTACTGACTAGCTAATAAGTTTAGTTTTACAACACTGTCCAAACTATACTAAATTATTTCTTCCAACTATGAGTTTAATCTGTCTCACGAAAGAAAGGTACCGTTTTGTGCATGTAAACTGATACAAACAGGTGAGAGATGATACTATGGGCAGTGCAGCATGCGGACGTGCAAGAATAACTAGTTTTTGTTGAGACGTGTTTGCTTTTTTCATGAAACATACTATAGATGTGTACTTAACCTTAACGATGGGTCCTAACTCTTGAGGATCAACATGTTTCTATGGTAAATAATCATCACAGTGTGATTTCAATTCATTTAATGTAATGAAACTCATCATAACAGTGATGGAGGTAATGTTAAATATACTCTTCAAAACGAGAGGTGAACCAGATGGGAATCAGTTTTTGTCACGCAACAACCGTTTGTCATTTCCGCCAAGTAAACCACCATGTAAACATGTCACTGTGCCAGTAGACAGTTGCCTAGGTAACTCCTTATATCAAGTAGAATATTACTTAAATAAATATGTTAATTTTCATAAGATATGTCATCACTAATAACGTGACAATATTTTATAGATTGAGTAATTTGTATTTGATGTACACTAGTTAAAAATATTTTACTAATACAGTAATATTAGTATAGTTTAAATTTATTTTTATTTTAAAACAGAATACCAAAGTACAAGATACGCAGAAAACTAAAAGTATGCTAGAATATGAAAATGTTTATTACAAAAAAAAAATTATATGTAATTACACCATTTTTATTACCAAATTAAACTTAATAAAAAGGTAAAATAAATTTAAATAGAAGGTAATTTTTTTTTTATAACAATTTTTTTTATTTAAAGCATAATTAGTAGTATTTAATGTGAATTTAGTGACACTTGAGTTAATACTCCCCCAAGCCAGTCACTTCTTGGAGCTAGGGGGCAGAAGCGCTTGGCCACGATCTTTTCCTCTTAACTTTATACCTGAAACATTTTAATTTATTACGATAAACACATAAAAATCATTTGTTGAACTACCAAGCTTGATATTTCTTAATATTTTATTAAATATACARAATTAATTATTTATACAGATTCCTTAAATTAAATTATACTAGTTGTATAAATTTATTTTTTACAACACAGCCATGTTGTCATGGTTTGGCACCCAGGGCCAAATATCGCCAATTAAATTAAGACTGGGCAGCCAAGGGAGAAATTGGGCACGTAAATTGATTTTTTGCAGTTGAGCTTATACACTGGTGCTTTCCGGTATTTATACAGAGTGGTGAATCAACATAAAGATAACAATAATTCATTAATAACTATATGCTACATTAATAATAKAATAATTGCAATTAATGTACTTTAAAACGTTTGAAATAAAACTATATTTTGTTAGAGATGATTTGTTTGGATATTACTGTATAATATTAATAAATTATTCAAGTAGGCAATGAAACTTTTAGCACCCACTTTAACTGTGCACCTGGGGCAAAAGCTCCCTTATCCCCCTTCTCTCCATAACGCGGCTTTGACAAAACACAAAAGTTAAAAAAATTTGTTCTTTGCACGGACAAGTTAGCATCAGTGTACCATACCTACTACCTAACTTTGTGAAAAAATATCTAAATCAGAAATCATAATTCGCAGATTGGATTTAGCATTTGATATATTTTTTTTGTGGTTTAAACTCTTATTCTCTAAACTTTTCTGATCTCTTAAAAAATCTTCGAAAAAGAGTAASCAATGACAACCATTTATAAATAAAAAAGCTTAAATTTCTACAATGAAACCTAAAATATTTGTCAGAGGATCGTTTTAAATTTTAAATTTCACAAAATCTATTCTTAGTAGGTTATGCATCATAAAACTATCAACCAAATTTCATACTCATAATTACTATGTTTTTGGTTAGGCGATCATAAATAAGCCAGTTAGAACAAGTTATTTTATATTTATAATTAGTAAGAGTAATACTTTCAGTGATGTAACTGAGGGGGTATACATAAACTGCGCCCAAATTTTTATCTATATGTTAATATTCATGTTAAAAAGTACAACTTAATCTGTGCTCTGTTTGTAAAATATATAATACTTTTGACTTGTTTGTGTACTTTTCAATTATATCATAACCATTTTATTTTTGTTTAAAAATACCAACACATTATTGAATAGGTATCAACAATATGTTTTTTTTGTCCTAATATTGAACTTTTATAAATTATATATATTTTTAAATTTAAAATTAAATGTAATTCTATTAATTATTTATATTATATGGATGTAACGAATTAAAGATTATTGTAAAATTAGATTGTTAATTTAGTTCAATTTTCCAAAATATCCCTAGGTACCTATTCAATTTTAAAAGTTTATTAGGGCACAGCTTAAATGTATAATCTTAGGTTTATCTGCATAGGCGGAAATCCGTAGAAATTTCTGGGTGGGGGAGGGGGGCTAAATTAACTAAAAAAAACTATATTAAAATAAGATCACATTTCAGATGAAACCTGATAGTATTAAAATAGCTCCTTTCACGGATTGAGCTCTAGCTAGTAGCTATGCTAYTAGTCGCATTTAATATGAACAACATTATAAACATGTTATTAGTTAATGCTATGCATTTAAAATACTTACAAAGCACTTTTTCAATTTTTCCAATAACTAATTGATTAGGTATTCCACGTCCAGCTTCATAATCTTGAATTACTTGCGGTTTCTCATTAACTTTCTTAAATCATCAATAAAATTTGAGTATCAAACAATAAAATTAAATATATATTTAACTTACAGTAGCCAGTTCTTTTTGATTATAACCTTTGGCTTGTCTTCCTTGTTGTATAAGACGGCCTAAATCAATTGGGACTTTTTCATGTTTTAATTCCTCAGTTTCCCGATCCAATTTTGCAGTATTTTTTGTTGTAACTTGATGTTTGTTAGTTGCTGCACCCCCTATTAAATAGCAAATAAAAAAACTAATTAGGTATGTAAATTTAATGCAAAATGACGATAGTTGTTAACAACTTTGAAAAAAAAATAATTTATTTGAAATTTTTCAATCTTAAGATCAAAATTAAATATTTTTGCACATCAATATTGAATTCATGCAGTCTTACAAGAGTAAAAATATATAAAAAGTTGATTCAACACAAAGTTCAAGGGCAAAAGCTATTTTGCATATTTCATGGGTTAGGGAATATTTAGATTAATTAACATATTTTGAAATATTTTGTAAATTATTAGGATAATATGATTGGGATGCCCACAGACTTAATAAATTCTCGGTACTTTTCGGTTATCGTACCCCAACGGTCGGACAGCCAACTGCGGTGGAGGTCAGGATACCTATACCGATTCCGTTCTCGTACCCCATTATAATTATCTCAATGCTTCCATCATAAAAATATTTTTTATTTACAATAATTTTTTTGGTATTCATATTGTATTGGTAATAATACTTTATTATAATTTTTTATTGTATTGATGTTTTATTATACTTTATTGGTATTCATATTTTATTATAATTTCTTTGTACTCATATAATTTCATATTATATTATTTTATTAAAATAAATTATATTTTTGGCAATTAKTTAWTTATTCGTATGGCAATAAAACTTGACAATATTGAGATAAATATAATGGGGTACGAGAATGGTATCCCATAGGTATCCCGACCGCCGCCACAGTMGGCCGGCCAACCGTTGGGGGTACGATAACCAAAAACTACCAAATTCTCTTATAACATCTGTAGGATTGAGATGTCGAGATTGTTCAGCATACATAAGACCTCGTATAAGACAATAACCAAGAACCACCGTATTAACCAAATTCTAAGAGTATTAACTTTATTCTTAAAAATTTGACACAACATATTATTGAATCCATCTTTAAAAGTGACTTGAAGATGTATGGTGGTAAGAGAGGTCATTATAATATTATACAGATTATCCAATTTCTAATGTAGATGAGATATAGCTTTTTTCATGCAATTTAATATGTATATAATATAAGTTATTATAAATTATAATTTATAATGTATGTATATAATATAATAGGTATGATTGGAACAGTAGATCATTCACGGAATCATTAACAGATCTAATTTAAACATATAAATTGTGTAATAAATTAAGTATTAAACATAATCAATAGTTTCTAACTACTTTCTAAATTGTTATTAAATAACCAAAAATAAAAATAATCAAGTAGGTACCTGAATCAATAATTATATTCTAACAATTAAATCAATACATTCCAGATATCCAATATTAAGCAACTGTCGGTTTAGATGTATTTACGAATTCAAGAAATAAATATTAATTATTTATGATATGTTTATTATGAGCTATTTAACAAAATAAGGTTCATCATGGGTACATGCTCTAAATTTTAATTTGTACTTACATTTCACTTGAGTATCAATTACTGCACCCTCACGTCTAGCTTTGTTGATGGCCTAGAATAGTTTTCGAAATAAATTACACATTTACGACATAAATATGGACAAAATAAAATAATAAACCTGTTCAGATTTCATGGTTGAAGGCTTTGGTGGCCTTTTTCTCAATATTGTCACTGTATTCCAGTCGCTCATGATGATATAATTTATTAAGACGATTTGTAATTAAGTTTTAACACCACAACGCAGTTCACACTTTTATGAGAATAAATATAGAATATCAATCATTTAAAATCTTCTAAAATGACTAAAATATTATTTTTGTGATAAATGGTTTAGCAATAATAACAAATAATAATGGTCAATATGAAATATTATGAAATAATACAGCTACAGCAAGTATGCAGCATTGCAGCGATTTGTTTTTGTAGAATTTATTATTTAACCAAGACCCAAGTTGAATAACCACAGTAGGTTATCGGTGTTGCGGCGATGTGATGTCTCGGAAAACATATGACTGATAAAATCAAAGACATTGCAAACTGATGAATCGTGTGGGAAAATAATTAAATTTAAAAGCTTAAAAARCTTTATAAAACTAAAAACAAAAAGCAAGGCATGAAAATTCTTTGGTTTTTTTTAATTGAAATTTGAAAGAATACTGTTCTAAAAAAAAAAATAGTAAAGGACTCAAGGTATGCCGTATGGATAACGTATTAACGCTCTGCTGTACATTCTAAATTTCTAAGATTCTAGAGATGATTTACTATTATGGATGCGTTAAATTTTAATTCAATTGTATAAAAATAAAATCATTGTAAACGAAAAACGTTTCTTAGCGAAAACGGTCTGTCGACCTCATAAACCTTCAAGTCCATAAGGTCTACGGTCGGTTTATAATACAGTAGAGTCCCGCTAATCCGGACTAGATGGGACCGGACTCTCTCCGGATTATCGAAAATCCGGATTAAACGAAATGACGTTTTTTTTTTAACTTACTCATTAATAAACACTATAAATAATAACACAATACCAATATCATATCTTAATTATGGGTATTCCCGAATATATATATTA